AATTCATTTTGGTGCCAGGAATCGGCGAAGGAGTACGCGCGGCACTTCATCTCCGGGATGCGACGGAAGAGGCGTTTCCTTTATGCTATAGTAATACATACTTCGTACAATAGATTGTAATATATATTTTATATTGTGTATATAAGCAATTGTGTATGTACTTTATTGTGTATGTACTTTAATGACATTATACAACTGTCCATGTGGTCCATTCCAAGGTCGCCCAGTCGTTTTCCCAAAATGCATTGCCTTTGTTTAAACCGCGCGCGGATGACCTCACCAGGTATTGGACGGACTTGGTCGCCGATGACCTCACCGAGGAGGCGGGAGAGAATCGACATTCGTCAAAGCATGAATCATGAGATTGCTGTTTTTTTGACATCAACCATCCATTTCTGCATATCATAAAAATACAGTGAGGCTTCAATCCTTGCAAGTTGCAAGGTCCAAGCTGATAGAGCTGTCCAAGTTCATGCACTTGCTTTGGAGTGCAAGGATTAGGATTGCAAACTGTTGATGGAGGGGATCTTTCCCCACCTGAACAGCGAAACACTTGTATGTGTGTTTTTTGCATGTTTTCTCAATTCTGTTCATTTCTGATCCAATTGCTTTATCGGTGTCAAGTACGAGGAAGGTCAGGCGGCCAGGCTCACTTCCTTTGACCAAGGGAACAAATGCGTCATACTGACAGATAGGTATATAGAGTCTTGCAGTGCCATCTAAGTTGTACTGGTGTCAGAAAACCTGTGAACACTAAGCTAAACCATATTGACCGTTGCATGTCCTTCCACCTGAACAAAGCCTCTCTTGATCCACTTGTCCTCCTTCCCAAGCAGTTCTGAAAATCTGAAAACCATCGATTCCGACATGTGATGTTTGCGCACCGAAGGATGTTGGAGCATGTAGGATTCAAAACCTGCTGCTGTGATGGATATATCCCATGTACAACCTGCAGATAGGCCGCATCAGATATGCCGGGCTTTTTCGCTCACCGTTTTGCCTCTCCAGACGCTTTCGCAGACTCGTTGGTCTCGACAGGCGGAGAACAGCTCCTTTGGGACCGTGACCCATTTGCCCACTCTCAACAAGGATCGTGCACAGAAGGTCTGGAGCTCAGAGGGTCGCCAGAGATGGAGACGGACGGACGCGACCTTCTGCAGGAATTGTGTGAGCAGAGCTCCGTTTAGCTGATCACCCACCCACAAAGAAGAACTGTATAGGCAATGGTTATAAGGCATGGTTGAGGCATGTGATTTAGAAATCATTGAAACATATCGGTGTATATTATAGCAATTTGGGTTGGTGTTTGTTGTGTCCTGCTCATGCGTTTCTTTCTGGGTTGGTGTTTGACCTGTTCCCAGTGAACTTCAAAAGCAGTAGAACGAACGCCTCAGCGCCTTGGAAGACAGCGGTACGTGCCACGGCATACCGCGTCACAGAGGGGTGTGTGGCGACCACCCACCCACCTTGACGCAATTGTCCACAGGCATGGGCCCGAGGTGGGCCCAATGTGTCAGACATCATGACATCCCGTCAAACTTCACATCATTACCTAAGCGACGGCTGCCCTGCCCTTGCCGACGAAGCCAACTCAGCGAGCGACTACAGCAACGGGTGAGAGAGTAGATGCTGCACAAATGACTGTCCCAATCCTAGTTTCAAAAGAAACACCGGCAGTGCGATCCATGCGTTGAAAGTACATACGCGTGTGCAGTGAAAAGGGGCCACATGGCGTGAGCCACTGCCACCCACTGTACACGCCACTACTCACATTTGTGCGGAACTGGCTCATGCGTGTTTCGGGCCTTGGTTCTCTCTCAGGTCCAGCATGTGGCCTGCCACTTCTGTGCTGGAATGCAAGAGACGATGCAGTCCACTCAAGCAACACAATTTTGGAAACTGAGTGTGATGAGCATCCAGTACGACCAAATTCCATCACACAACTAAAGGATGAAACTATACTCCCAGGCATCAGCAGACTCAGCCACACTAGGTGGAAAGTCCTGACCCAATGGCTACATCTCCAATATCTAAAGCATTGTAAAATCGAACAAATATGTTTAAATGTTGTTTCGTCTCTCTTGGATGGGGACACTCCTGTTCGCACACGACCTCGACCCCACGCCTCGTTCCACTTCGTACCTTCGCCTCGTTCCACTTGTCGGTCCTTCCTTGTCAGTACGCCGCCAGGGCCGTGCTTCGTCCGAGCCCCGACGCCAGGGCTCGAAGTGCTGCCCCCTTTTTTCACGAAAGAGGAAGGTGGTGCATCATGAAAGCACCAAGTGAGCGCAGCCAGCGCTGCAGCGACCGACGGCCAGCGCCGTTTCGAAGGTGGGATGGCTTTATTTTGTTTCCAGGGGCAAGATGAAGCATCAAGGCTACAGTGGATAGTGTTAGTGTCGCTCAACAAAATGTATAATAGAGAAGAGGGTCCCGGAGTCCCGGCCAGAGGTTCTCTAATCCTGGGCAACTAATTTTCAATCTTGCATGGAAGGTTTTACTCCCCAGTGGCTGAACTAACAGACCCAGGCCCATATACCAATATCGTTTACAGCCTCTTCAACAAGGTTTGTAAAGCCATACAGGAAAACCAGATAAAACACTTCAGCTGAGAGTGGAACAATAAACATTAAACATCTATAAACCATGTTCCCAACTCACATACCGAGCAGTTAACCGCTGGTAGCGGTATTTTCACCCTGCATATTGGTACCCTCAATGGTCGGTCGGCGCCTCAAGGGATCCTTTTCAACTCTGGCAACTTCATCCCAGGCAGCACAGCCGTCGGACTAGCGGCCCAGAATTTTCAGCCCGAGCAGTCGGTCAAGAGATGTCAAGAGATGTGCATCTTGCCATGATTTTCCGACCCAAATTGAATAGAGTTCTCACCTCAAGGACACTACTAGAGACACGTTTGTGTTTGATCACGTTTGAATTGTTTGCCACGGAATCAAAAGCATTTGCAGGACTAACCTGACATGAAACAGGGGGATGAATTCTTTGTGCAGTTCCACTGACACAGACAGCGGTTTGACCGACACAGACAGACTCTAAGGGTGTGTTTGATGTGCTTTTACCTTCATCAAATCGGTTTGACCGACTCTCAGGTGCCTTTTTCTTTTTTGAACTATGTGGAATGTCGAGGGTCCACCAGTTCGAGCGCCCCTTCGTTGTGATGTGGAACAAGATGGTCGGGCGTTAGGTAGGAGCGCTCTTTTCCTTTGTCTTGTCCTGAATTGCAGTACAGCTGATCATCATGCATGTAGGCATGTTTTGTTGTGTTCTGGAGAGAGTGCTATATGTCCTCATGATCATTGCAGCCACATGTTCTGTAATCTTGTTCCACAACAGGTGAAAGCTCCCGCTCGGACTACATGGTTCGGACCTCTTAAGTGCCGTCCCAGACTGAAGGACTCACAGGTGAATTTGGATGCTTTGGTTGAGCCATGTTCCTGCTAAACCTGTCAATCTGGAGTCAGGATGAGTCAGGTAGAAGTTGATCGAACTGCCCTGACTGGATCAGGATCCAGTTCGGTGTTCACTTGTTCCTGACAGTCAGACCCCAACAGAGGGATGAGTCGAGTGAATCGCCATACCATCCCTTCTTTCGTCTTGTACCGAGAGCGCACCTCACCATGGTCCTTCCCGGCCACGGCCAGGGTTGGCCGCAACTCAACGGCGCCGTCGGGGGGAGCTGGGCGCCTCCAGAGGAGCCGCCACACGGACGCCTCCCGCCGCCGAACGCAGCGAGGACGCCACCTCAACCACCCGCCCGGTCCCTTAATAGGTCGGGCGAACGGTGAGACGCGAGGAGAGTCGCGTCAGAATCGCCATGGTTTGCAGAGGCCGGAGGCATCCTTTAGAGAGTTTTTTTTTTCAACGTGCAAGCAAAGGAAGAAGGATTGAGGTCGTGGGTGTGTTTGTGTGCGTTTAATGCAGCTAAGTTGATTCAACATGATTCAACTTGATTCACCATGACATTATGACTTCGCCAGTCACTTCGTCCTAACTGGGCCACTATACCGGTTCACCCGGTTTGACACTTGTCGGTGGCACGAACTCGTCCTCCGGGCTCTCCGAACCGAACCACACCGGTGGGTGTGGGCATGCGACGTCTGAGCTTGACAGACGTCCCAAAGAAAGCTCCGGAGAAGACTTAGGTACAAAAGAACGCCGGCCGCAGCAGCACCCCGACGCTAAAAACACATCTGCACCGAGAAGGCATCGAAATCAAACAGTTGTTTCCGCGTTTGTACTTCATCATCCGAGTGTTCCAAGTCTTGTTGTCTTGGAGCCATTTGTTTCTGAAGATGAACAGGTTGGATGTTCATGGTCCATCAAACTCTCTATTCAAAGCAGGAAGTGTCATCAACAGGTTCTGATCAAACCAGCCGTTCACGTGGAAATCACATGACATGACACATTGTTCGATTCGTGAGCCCTCTATACTTGGAAGGGAACGGTTGCTTGAATCATTTTAGATCCTACTCGTATTCATATCACCACGATGACGTCGCATGTTTGGGTGGTTGGGAAAGTTGATGATGTTTCAATATGCTGGGCAAATCCTTCAGAGAGGAGGGAGGCAAACTGTGCGCTTCTTGGGAGTACACAATGTCCCTGAGATACTGATGATGAACGAATCTTGTAAGCATTTGGACACGGCTAAGAGAAGTTCGAAACAAGATGAAACAAGTGAAGGATCCTCAGCAAGTGCCAAAGGATATTCTAAGTACCTGCAGACGGTGGAATTGTTGCTGACTGTTCCGAGCTGTTTTGCATCTCAAGGGGCCTTGAGGAGCACCGAAACCATGTTTGACTCCAGCACATTGGAGTGATCTTGCGAAGACATGCCGGCATGCAACGGACAGGTATTAATACATGTTGGATCAATTTGGATCATGTTGGTTAATGGTCAATAGCATTGAACACAAGCCTACTTAGGCCTACTTTCAGACCTGCAAGACTTAACCACGCCACGGAACCCCTGACAAGTAAATGTCGAAAAGAGATCATTTCAGCCTGGAGGTGCGGGAAGAAAACAGCGGTTCTACCGTTCTACAAACATACCGCCCTCAACCGTTCGTCCATCCACCCAACAAAGACACCGTACGAGGTCGTCGGCATCTCGCATCCACGGCCCGGACGAACTCCGGTTTTGGCGTCCGCCATGGCGCCGTGAGCCCAGAGGATCTCTTGTAGCTCCGCACGGTGCTGGATCGTTTTCGGGTTTGAGATAGGTGAAAAACAAGACAACACGGCTGGAGACATCAAGCATGGGAGGTTGGTCAGTGTTGTGTTTTTGGCTACGTGGTTTTAGCTCTGTGATTAGTCAGTAATTAATGGTTCATAATGTTTCCAATAATCATAGCTTTGCAGGTCACTGATCAGGAAAGCCAAGTCTGCATAATTTGGAACTTGCATAAGCCTCTATGTTTGTGAGCAGCTGAGAGCTAGTACTAAAATCCGTAAAGCTATTAGCCAAGAATATTGGAATTATGAAAATGACTTGCTTAGGATTTCTGAATCTTCTGAAGGTTTTTGGCTGGGAGGACCTGGCAGGGTTGATAGTGAGGTCTTCAAATCATCCGGGACAAACAGTGTCGAAACTTATGCCAAACTCTCCATGCATGGCACAATTGGGGGGTTCAGGTGTCAATGTACGACATAATATATATATATAAATATATATATATATTTATGTATATAATTATATATATTATATATATACATTCCGTACTACATTCCGTACGTGCAGTCTTTGCGTATGCGGCAAGACAACTGGCGCCACGTATGTACAAAGCACCGAGCACATCCATGTCCGATTTTGAGTCTGGCATGAAACAGCACAGAGCGCTGTGAATAATCGAGCCATGACAGGATATGACGGGTGCAATTAGCAAGATGGTCAAGCCACAGAGGAAAGCAGGCTGTTTCACCCAACGGCCAAACTAACGAACACATACGCATCGACGCATCGTGCGGTTTCGATCGGTTGCGGCCTTTACGGTGAGATGTGTATACTACTAGGTTGGAGGCCATTGCTATTCGGTTAAACTCCCTGGTGATTCTGCCACGTCGAGACGTCCGCCTCCCGCGGCATCGACCGAGGTTCCATGGGACGCCGGTGGAGGTGCGGAAGCATCAGAAGTCCACCACCTGGTGCGCCCCATGGCATTGGGAAGGTACACTCATGTACACTCCGACTCACATGTCATGGAGTGGAAGTGATGGCCTTGGGAAGACGATGTTCCTTTGTGATCCTTTGTGGTTTCCACTTCCATGTTAGTGAGTGGGAGTGCAAGAGCGGGAAAACAGGTGGAGAACAGTGTTTTCCGAGAACACAAGAGAAAGCACGTTGTTTTTCCCGTCCTGATTGAGCTTCCTATAGTTGGCCATGTGATAATTACGGATGTTCCAGCAAAATTGGGGTCAGAAGGTTGAGGAAGGAAATGGAGTCGAGTCCCAGCAAGTAGGAGCTTTCTCATGAGGAATCCAAGCTATGGCCATGGCTAGAAGATGAGACATACTGACGCGGAGATGGTTCAGCCAAGATTATGGGAGGTTCCTGATGCTTCGCATCGAGATCTTAGCCTCAGGTGTGAAAACAAGCAAACCTGAAGGTGTGCATTTCCTGTTCATGAGTCCGATTCCATTTTGAGGTGTTGCAACCTCTGGATGACCCCAAGTGGTGTCCTGGGATGTCCTGGGTTGTGATGTTGAACCGCAGTGGTGTCCATGGCACCGTCCCCCTCAGCACACAGAATGTGGAGATCCAGTTCCCACTTCCCACTACTGTCATGTCCTGCTTGTTGGAAGGAGGTTTCTACACAAGCACGATGTAGACCCAAGAGAAGGCTGGCTGTGCTCCAGGTACAGTGGTGAGCTCATAGACATCAATGGGGAAGACAGCATCAAGGTTCGTTTCGAGGAGCAGCGTGGCTTTCGGGCAGTTCAAGCAGGTGGCGGAATCGGAGGTGGTGCTTATATATATATATATACACGATTATACACGTCTTTTTAAACATGCAAACGACGAATTAGGATGCAGGAAGAGATGCTTGGGCACCACTCTTTCAACACATCTAGCTATGGGTCAAAACCGCGCGACCTTGTACGACACATGCTCAACCTCCCAGGGTTTTGGAGCTTCACCTGAGGTCTATCCTGCCATTTGGTGCTATCAGATAGACCTCAGGGCCATCAAAAGCTAAAACGTTCGTCCCGCGAGAAGCCTGGCTTACGCGGAAGCCCTTGAGTGTCACAACCCGTCCACTCCGTGTCACTTGGACGGTGATCGGTTTCTCTCCGTGTCACGTCGTCTCCCATCCGCCGAGATCGACAGGGATTCTCTCCTGACTCACGCGCCAAGAGCGCGTGTGTCTTCAGGCACCCTGGCAGACAACGAAGTGAATTCATGGGAATGTCCCTGAAACTTCAACCTGACAAGGCCGCTCTTCCCTGTGAAGATTCCCCACATCCCGAAACGTCAACTCAGAGTCACCCTATATGAAAAACGTGACACGTTCAATGTGAAGAAGATCCCCAAAGTCAACTCAAGAATCTCAAGATCCCAATCCACGCTCACCAAACCAAACCTGACTCACCTCGTCTTGCCTCACCCCCAACCGCCGCGCCAGGACGACATTTGGGAACCTCGCGAGGTACCGCCCTCCTCGGTACGGCGTGTCCCTGAGGCGAGGAGCTACCACGTGGGGTTGGGCCATGGCTTGGGCCTTGCGGGGCTCGTGATGTGGATGGACCTTGACATGGCTGGTACCATGTGGTAGTACCAGTGGTATACCTTTTCATTCATTTGGTGGGTGGTTGGAATATTCATGCACTGCTTGGCATTGGGCTAGGAGGAACGCTACTTCAGGAGATCCTTCCTTGATCATACACTTTCCAGTTGCATCGGATAGCCCTGGTTCCAAGCGAAGAGTCGTCACTTCGAGAGTCGTGTAGACTCGTACTGCTATGGTTTGATGTTTGGAGGTGGCCACCTTGTCGTCATGAGGAATCGGATTTATCATGGATGTGTGGGTGCAGGATGGTGCGGGTGTAGACGGTGTAGTGAGTGTGGACACTTTTTGGCAGAATGCAGAGGAGAATGGACCCAAACACGGCCGTAGTTCGTGAAGAAGGTCGATCATGTGCGGGACTCTGTCTAACTGAAGCTCTCCTTTTGACGAACATCGTGTGTGAGCGTGACTCGTCACTTGCGGCTTCTGGGAAACGTCGCTCGCCACCATCGCCCAGGGCGCCACTGATGACTTCGACCCACAGATCGATGAGGTGCGGACAACCGGAGGAACTGGGTCTCTTGATGCGAGTCGGCGAGAAGCAGCTGGAGAGATGCAGATTGTTTTACATGTGTGTTGTGTTTGTATAATGTCTATTCGCATGTCACAGAAGAACAGGTGAGTTAAAATCACCATGACGCAGTTGGCTTGCATGACCCTGGGTTTTTTAGCAGGTCTCAGCTTCCACAGCGGCTGAGCCACGTGAGGTGGTGGAGGTCCTTCTACCTGCCACGGAGTCGACCCCCAGTGGTTGGGGACTAGGCTGGATCTGAGGGGCGCGACGAGTGGAGGATGTGGTGGGGCTGGAAGAACTGCATGAAATGTCCTGAAAAGGCCAAAGGCTTGAATCTGTCGGCCTCAGTGGGGGCAGAGGTCAGGCTTATCCAATTCCTTTTTTGGGGTCTCATGACTCATGTCGACGGGAACAAACGTTGGAGCAGGTGACGGGTGAAGGTTAAGGGTTTGCTGGGTGATTTGTTTTGCCGATGATCCTCCCTAATGGTCCTTGCTAATGGATTTCCTCGGTTCAACACCAAGGCATCCATTGAAAAGAGGTCTGTCCCAGTCCTTTCAGAATAACTACCTGTGGCAGCAGCTCCAGCCCATGCCACCCGTCCTCACTATGCAGACAGGCACGGTGAAGACCATCAAGAACTCCTTCTACTTCATCACCTTTGATCCAACACAGAAGGGGAAGCAGGACGCTTCCATAGGGTCGACGAGAATTGTGAAGGTGCGTGGTGAACCCAGGCTCCATCAGGCTCCAACTGCCTTGAAAAAGGTAGGGTAGGCGGCATAGACAGGCAGAAGGGGAAGCCTGAAAGTAGCAGAATGTTCATTGCAGGTACGACTGCAGTTTCGTGGAGCTCTTCCAGATGTCTACCCCATTTAAGCATATCCATCACATGCGTTGCCCTCACCGTGTTCGCGAGGACCTCATTGTCGAGCGGAGCGCCTTGAGGCGGAGCAGCCAAGAGGAGCAGCTGGACGTCTCCACGATGTTGCGGAAGCCGCTGGACGGCGAAGCACGGGGTCCGCAACAGGAGAGAGTCACGGGTTGCAGAACATTGTTGTTCATATCATATCTAACCGATTATATATATATATATCTTTCAAAGTGAGCTTTTGAGTGGGTCAAAAGATGCAAGGCAAGTCCTGGCAGAAGAGGAAGTGGCTATCCCTCTTCAACATCTTGACATTCAGGCCCTTCGATCCATCACTGAATTCTCATGGGCCCTTTTTGCACAGCTAGGTACATGCGTAGCATGCTTCCGCTGCTACACGCAACCAGGGAAGGGTCTAAAAGGTGCCAGGGATGCTCCAAACCATGGCAGATAGGGGGCTCTTTCTTATTCCACAAAGTTCCCAGCCGTTGAGGATCAACATATAGGGTACTCACACCAGTGGCAACAAATTTTGAGCAAGTTTAAACTGATCCTCACCCGGCCGAATACAGGTCATGGACCCCTATTTACAGCCTCAGCACGAGTAAGCACATGTGCAGCGGTCGGAGTCTTTATGTTCCTTTGTTCTTCTATCTCTCTATTTGTATTATATTATGTACATACATATATATATATGTGTTCTTGTTTGTTCTCGCTTAGTTTGCTTGCTTGCTTGCTTGCTTGCTTGTTTGTTTTGTTTTTGTCCTATCTCTCTCTATAATATATGAATTATATTGTGTATTGTTTTCTGTAATGTGTCATGTGTTTGTCTTTTTTGTCCTTTCGTTCTTTCGATCTATCTATTTTTGTTTATTTATTTCGTTAGTATCTAATTTACTATTTATTTATCAATCTATCTAAGTCCAATTGTTTGTACTATATAGATATAGACAAGCAGATAGCAGTGGAAGGGCTAGATGTACGGGAAATGGTGATGCAGTTGGAGTCGGGGCGCTCTTTGCGCACTCGGGAAGAAGAAGGTGGGAAGCATTTCGTGCGATACATTTGGTGTCAAGTTTGCTTGGCTTTGGATCAAATAACAAGTCGCCCAAACATGAAAATCACCCAGATTTGGACCAAAAACCTGCTAAGATGGACACATTCGCTTAGTGCAAATGCGCAGGTCGACCATGGTGTGCCACTTCAGTGTTTGGTTGACCTTGGTTCGCCTCGCTGAGGTTGTTACCTGTGGAGGCAGACCTGCATTCCTGGATCAAATCCCAGGTGCTCGGAAGGGCCCGGAGGGCTCGGGTTTGGCATGGACCCGCAGGGTTTCCATGTCGGAGCAACTTCAGGTGAAGCCAGGGAGGCAACGCCCAATTTGTAGGTTTTGAGGGTAAGAACTGGAAAGGATTGAGTGAGGGAGGTGGGCAGACATGATGTGCTTGAGGTTTATTTTGCTTGAGGCACGTTGACCAACCAGGGGTGCTTATACAGACAAGTCACCCAATACTAAGGTCGTAGGGAAGCGTGACTTCATTCCGGCGGATAGCGTGGAAAGCACAGGATCGTTGAGGGTGAACATGGATGAACAATAACATTGTTGCTAGCTACTAGAAGCTAACAATTATTCCCCCAAAAACACAAAATGAATCCATGTGAATCTCATTCAACAGTGTTGGCTTTATTTATGGATGTCACTGGCAAAGTGAAACGCATCAGCTCAGATTAGCTCAAGTCCTCTCGCGGACATTCAGATGACCTACCCACCTGCCATCCCCCAGTCGTTGGAATCCCCGGAAACTGCTGGCAGAATCCTTCTTTCCAACGAATCACTCAAATTCGGATTGCGCCAGACTCCCTGAACTCATCGTGGAATGGTGCGGACACCCTCCGTCCTATTGACACCTCTCCGGCCAGGATTCCTCCGGCTGCTTGAGCCATGTCCAACACAAATGCAACTTGTTGGTCGCGAACTGCGGCTTGGCCAACACCGACAATGGGAGAAACCGAGTTGTCCGCGAGTTTGTTGTGACCTGTTGTTTACTGTGCAGGAAGCATGTGCCATGACAAATGCAGCAACACGAGAGACCATTATATATACCTACATTGGTCGCATGGACCTATGGCTTCTTGAGAGAACAATGAAGGCACCTTCTGGCCAATCATGACCAATTTCAAAGGTACGGGAAGAAAGGACGAATTGGGCCAGCACCACCCATTTCAGGTGGTTTATAGACCTCTTTGACATTCTTTGACCATTTATTTTCCATCCAATTACCACCCAAGCTGGGTGGTCCATTTTTGTTTCTGCCAGCGTGGGTCTTCAATTATAGATTCATCCTTCTCGAGGAGAAACTGTTGGGTCCTACGATCCGGTTTGGAGCGAAACCATGAAACACCGAAGAAACCCTCGCTGATGATTTGGAGACATATGTTGTTGGACTCTTCAGTCAAGCTGACCGATCAAAGAATTCTTTGTGGGAGTGGGGGGACGTCTCCCCAATCACTCCAGACAAGATCAGGTGCATCTGAGAAATGCGAGAATAGAAACAAGTCAGAATTCTTAGGCTGGTAGAAGACACTAGAAGAACATCCTATAAGGGGCCAATGGCCTCCCACTACTTGTGGATCCATCGTTTGGCCGTTTGGGCAGCCATTCAGTGCCTTGAGTTTTGCCGGAGGCACCAACGTTGAGAGCGGGAGCCAGAAGGATCCCGAGGCTGGCGGGCACCCGAGGCGTTTGCATCCGGGCCACGCTCCATTCGTAGCGAGGCCAGGAGCCCCTAGTAGACGTGGTGGCATTTGGTGCCGATGTTGGTTCATGGAGGCGATTGGCCCGGCAAAGGGTATTTGCCTTTTTAGGGCAGTTTAATCGCGTGGATGTTCTGGGTCGGATCGACATCATGCGCGTTGGATCAAGGAATTTCTCCGGGGCCACGGACGGAGTCCCTGCGAAGACCGCGGAAGCGCATGGAACATGTTGGGGACTGCAGCTTGAGAAGCACTGACTGGGAAGAACCATCGGGCCGTAGGACATTGTGACTTTCCTTCTTCAAGCAACAATGGAGGGGGCGACCTTGGAACCCTTTCCAACCCTACGACCTTAGAACCCTCGCCAAGCCGTTGAACACGGAGGGACCTGACCAGGTCTTGCTCATTGGTGGCCACAAAGAAGTGCGATTGGCCACCATGCTGTTGGAGTCGGGTGTCCCAGTCGGGTTCAGTATGGAGCACTTTACACATTCCTTTCTCGACTTCTTAGGGGTTCGAAGCTGTTCTCCCTTGAGCCAAGTTGTGCTCCCATTTCTTTGGTTGAATCTGTGTGCAACGTAGAAAGATGCAACGTACTGGTAGAGTGTTTGCCCCAGTAACTTAAGTACCGTCCGGTGAAGGAGGGTGAAGTGCTGTATCTACATGATCTGGGAGGCCCCGGCTTTCGGTCGTTCTGCATGTTGATACCTCAGTACTGCAGCGTATTTTCGATGCAAGTGGTTTGGACTGACCTACATTTGGCCTGTGTGAAAGCCATCCAACTCGAAGCTCTGTTCAGCGCCGCGTTGCTACTCGCTGATCTTCACAGAAATCCCTACAAGCCGTTTGAGGCTAATCCATTTCAAGCATCAGATCGAGATGCAGAGGCGCGTGTGGGGGTGGCATGCTTCGGGTGCGCTTCTGGGATGTTTAATGTTGTGACTGGTTTTGACATCAGCAAACACAGGAGATGGCACGTCTCGAAAATTGCCACCAAGCTTTTTGCACCTTCAAGCCAAAGTTCAGAAGACGCTAAGGCTGGATGTTGTTGATCAACAGACTGGTCACAGCTGAACAATAATACATCAAGCGGAAAATTACAAGGACATGAGTGTGCAAGACGTTTTTTGTCTTGCAGGGCTTCTTGTTTCAGGTGGTTCAGACCACCAAACAGCATCAGTCACCTTACTCGTTGGACAAGTGTTCGCAATAGGTCACGTTTGCTTTCCGTGTCCCTTTTGTTGCCCCCTTTTAAAACCTCTCCCCCAAAACCCTCAATCGGATCATTGATCGACCGGTATCATGAGCAGGTTCCATGAGCACCGGGATCATCTCATGGAGCGCTTAGCCGAGCCGCTGGGCATGGAGCGCTTGGCTTTGACCGAGCACATGCATTTGCTTCGCCAGACACAGTCGGTCGGTGGGGTGGAAACATGTGGAAACAGTTGGTTGCTTTTGCTTCTGGTTGGTTGTTTTTGTTGCGAAGTGTGAAGGGGTGAGGCTTAGGGTAGTGCTTAGGGTGTGGCGGCAAGGGAGACAAATCGATGATTTGGAGACATGCAATTGAGAAGACCACAGGGTCCGAACCCAGCCCAGCGGTCATGGTCTCACTCGTGCAGGTGTTTTCCTTTTGGTCCAAAGCGTTTTGCAGTTGGAACTATTTTGAGGTTCCCTATTTCGCAAGCACTAGGATTCCAGACCCAAAATCATCATCACTTCATTTGAAATGCCAACTTGGCATCAAGCTACTGGAGTTCCAGGGTGTTCCCAAGGTTGTTGGCCACCCAGCGTGTTGGCTGCGAATTGGGGAGCCAGACCCAGTCGGACCCAGTGAATCTCAGAAATGTGAAGTTGTGTGGAGCCAAGCCGGATGATATGAATGATATGCAATGATCTTGGAATAACTATTTTGGATGTTTTTGGGCCATCCTTTAAGACAAATCTCTCTCTCACATTGTTGGAGGACGTGTGCACCGAGATTCACCAAGTAGTTCAACTGATTCCTTGCGATTCCGAAGGCACTCAAAAAGCTCCACCCACACTACCCCGCCGCGAGTGACGCGGTTTCGCATGCCAAGCAATAAAACCCAAGGATTCCAAACAAATCTTTGCCACGTGGTGATGGGTCTAAACATAAGGTCCAGGTTTTACACAGCTTGTAGTCAGTTCTATTCTATTTATTGGGTGTCGGAGGCTGCGGACGGGATCATTGACCCACTGCCCTTCGAACAGGTGTCGTTTGAACCCCAGACCACATCCTGCTGTCGTGCCCATGGTCTTTCAGGGCCAAGCAATGGCATTCGGCGCAGAACCAGGAGGCACGGTCAATGCGTTTGCTCGACAAGCGCCGGCTAGAGCTCTAGCCGAGTTGCTAGAGCTTGGAGGGATGATGTATCAGCCAAGAACGATATGAAATGGGAGGTGTTTGGTATTCACCTTTCACATCTCATACCTACATTGACCTACATGCACGGAAAGGGTCGGAAGTCATGACATGCTGAGAGCTTTTGCAGCAGAGACGCATGACATGCCTGGTAGATGTTCGAAACGTCACAAATAAATGTGTTTTCAGGAAAAATGCCTTTAAATTAGTGTTTCTTTTCCAAAACTGGTGTTGTTTTTGTTAAGGTGCAAAAAGTGACACATATGTGGTAGCGAGATCACAAAGAAACGGCATTTTTTGGTGTCCAAAATCCGAAGGACACATTTAGGTGTCCAAGGGGTACAGACGATAAGTGTCCCCGTCCATGGATTTATGTTTGCAACCCCTGAAATGGCAATGTTCATTGTTATTAATACGGTGACTTTTCACTGAAACATTTGAGTCCGGCAAAGTTTTATGCGGTTTGAACATATGGGTATGTGTCTAGCACCAGCTCTGCTGTACATTCCTTTCTAACATGTTTGAAAACACTGCGCTTCTGGTCAATATCAAGCATCCTGCTCCAGAACCACCAATTGTGTCAAGCCCATTCAATTTGAACTCTTCTTTGGGAACTGCACTGCATGCGGCAGAAAGGACAGAGCGCCTTAGACAATGCATCGAACAAGACAATTTGTGAACACCAGACACCAAACAGAAGATCTCATTTCTTGGCCCCACACTTGCCCCACAATTCCCACCCCACACCACCCAATGTGCCAAAATCATGTTTTTTCGAGGCAGTTCGTCGAACGGTCTCCTCTTCCGGGCTTCCGTCGCCTCGAGGTCTTCGAGGTCGACCAATCCCTGGTGGGTCGAATCATCGGCAAGAAGGCGCTTCGATCGTTGAAGCTCGTTCGGTGGGGACGTTCGTTCATGGAAGCTGGGTGCGACAGATGTTGGAGAACATGGCGGGCTCATGAGGGCTCAAAAGCTCTAAGGAGAGGAGTATCAACTTGATCAACTGATCGCATGGTCTTGGGGTGTTTTTGTTTTTTTCGTCTTGATCCATCAAGGTCCCATTGGTGTCGTATAAGGCGCCCCCGAGTTTTCCACTGTCAGTCAGGTCTACACCCCACACATCCC